ATATAGACAGAAATACACGTCACAGCTTCGTGTCATCCTTTCTAGATGACACAAAAATCAGCATGGAAATTACCTCTGCTGAAGACATTGATAATCTACAATCAGATATTAATAAGGTTTTCGACTGGGCAGCAGAAAAAACATGATGTTTAACAGTGATAAATTCCAGGTACTCAGGTACGGTAAAAATGAGGACCTGAAACATAATACAGGGTACAAAACACAATCAAACCTGCCCATAGAATGAAAGCAGCTTGTCAAGGATTTGAGAATAATGTAAGGTCTGACGACCTAACGTTTAGGGAGCATAACCAAGCAAATATTGCGTCAGCCAGAAAAATGATCGGATGGATTACGAGAACTTTCAAATCCAGGGATCCCATCACAATGGTTGTACTCTTCAAGTCACTTGTGCTGTCCCGTCTTGAGTACTGCTGGAAGTATATCAAACAATATATACTAGCAAGATGCTTGATGGCCAGGTCCCAAATTTTGACAGTAGAATAACTGTATACTGAAGCGAAAGATACGGAAGGAAACGCAGAATTGAACCAGTGATGAGCAGAGGTGCCATAGGCACAATCAGAGAACACTGAACATCAGGGGTCCACAGCTGTTCAATATACGCCAAGCAAGCATTAGAAATATTGTCGTAACAAAGGTGGAGATCTTCAAGAAAAAGCTGGATAGTTTTCTCCAAGGAGTAAGGAGTGCCGGACCAACCGGGCTGTGGTGGGTATGTGGGCCTGCGGGCCGCTCCAAGCAACAGCCTGGTGGACCAAACTCTAACAACTCAAGCCTGGCCTCGGGCCGGGCTTGGGGTGTAGAAGGACCTCCCAAACCCTCTCCAGGTGCACGCTACACGCACGGTGCACACAGTGGGTAACTGTGACCCACTGGTGGGTCACACTATCTACCCAGTGTGTGTGTGTGTGTGTGTGTGTGTGTGTGTGTGTGTGTGTGTGTGTGTGTGTGTGTGTGTGTGTGGCGTAAGACAGAGAGAAGCATGTGGCAGCATGACGCACACACACACACACACACACACACACACACACACACACACACACACACACACACACACACACACACACACACACACACACACACACACACACACACAGTGCCACAGTGACAACAGAGCATAGTGTGGCGCCATGACACAGTGACCTTCTCCTCTACCCTCCTTGATGGGGTTCTGGGAGTTCTACCCCCCCCCCCCAAGCCTGGCCCGGGGAGTAGAAGACCTCCCAGTACCCCGTCAAGCACGGTAGAGGAGGAGGTGACTGTGCCACAGTGCCACACTATACTGTGTCCTCACTCCTCCATCTTTCAACAACTTCTCTAACACGAACACTTCGTTGTAAATGCAACGGTTTTGCATAACTAGAAACGTATTAACCCAAGCAACCCACCTAACCTATTGAGGCCGATGAATTAAAAACGTCCGTATTACGGTGCTTTCATTTTTACTAATACTACGCATTTTTATCGCATTAGTGGACTGCGTCAAAAATGGGAGGCGTTCGCATCACTTATTGATGAGTTCACAGGTTGTCACAATAACCACTCCGCCACGCCTGTGGTGATTAGTGCCACTAACAAGGCACAACTGCCTTATTAAACAAGACCCTTCCCCCCTCCCCCCCTCGTGCGTGAGAGCTACGGTGCTGTTACACTGTATATTTACGTTGAGGGGGGGGGGGCAGGCAGCTTGTTAAGGAGAGCAGACAAGCTACTTTAGTCCTGCCCTAACAATCCTCCCCCCCTCCCCCGCCCCTTATATCCCCCCCCCCTAAACCTTCTAATCACCACACCCATTACTTTCTACCAATTCCTAGGATCATTGCCCCCGTAACCCGGTCTCTGACCAGACCACCTGGTGGGTGGTCTGATCAATCAGACTGTTACCCAATACGCCCCTCTTAACTGGCGCCCACCAGACAACTCCCCCCCCCCCCGACACACACCAACAACCCCCCCACCCCCCCAACAACCCCGACCCTCCGCACCTCAAGCACACGTCTTACGCAAATAACTGTTCCCTCTTCCCCTCGTCTGCCCCCCCCCCCTCCATAGACCCTCCCCCTCACCCCTGTTGCTGTTCGATCTCCCTCCCCCCCTCCCCCCACCAGGGGTCATTATTCCCCATATCTTCCCATCTAGTTCATGCGTTAAACCTTTTTTTTTTTTTTTTGAGATATATACAAGAGTTGTTACATTCTTGTACAGCCACTAGTACGCGTAGCGTTTCGGGCAAGTCCTTAATCCTATGGTCCCTGGAATACGATCCCCTGCCGCGAAGAATCGTTTTTTCATCCAAGTACACATTTTACTGTTGCGTTAAACAGAGGCTACAGTTAAGGAATTGCGCCCAGTAAATCCTCCCCGGCCAGGATACGAACCCATAACATAGCGCTCACGGAACGCCAGGCGAGTGTCTTACCACTACACCACGGAGACTGCCAAAGCTTAGCGCATGGGGGGGGGGGGGCTTGGGGTCACTATTCAGCGCATGGGGTGGGGGGGGGGGGTCATGGGTTTGTGCAGGACCCGCCTTCGTCAGCAGGCAGCAGGAGACGCTCCTGGTGCCTGAGTCAGCAGGCACTGTTGCTGATGGACTCCCTCCCCCCCAACACACACAGTGTGTACTACTTACACCATTCACCGTCAGCACGGTGAGCACCGTGAGCGTGGCCGCCTCAACAGGACACCAACAGTGAGGGCTGCTGGAGTCCTTAGCCCCGTTGCCGCACCAACAGTGTGACCCCGTTAACTGCAACCTGAAAACGTTGGCCTTCTTGATGTTATCTCTGCGTTAGTAAACGCAGATTCTGATGTTATCTCTTCGCGTTATATACCAGTGTGTATGTTCCCTGGCGAACTGCTGTCTTCAGAGAAATCTCTCTTTACAGTATTTTGTTTTAAGTCATCTGAAGGATGTTTCAAGAGCACTTGAAACATGTTTCTTCTACACCCCCGAGCCCGGCCTGAGGTCAGGCTCGATTTGTGATAACTTGGTCCAACAGACTGTTGCTTGGAGCGGCCCGCAGGCCCACATATCCACTACAGCCTGGTTGGTCCGGCACTTCTTGCAAGAACTTATATAAATGCTTCTTAAAGACTTCAACTTTTGTTCCAGCAAAGGCTACGCTGGAACATAGTCTGATATTTCTAATGCTTGCTGGGAGGATGTTGAACAGCTGTGGACCTCTCATGTTCAGACAGTGTTCTCTGATTGTGCCTATGGCACCTCTACTCCTCACTGGTTCTGTTCTGCATTTCCTTCCGTATCTTTCGCTCCAGTATGTTGTTATTCTACTGTACAAATTAGGGACCTGGCCCTCCAGTATCTTCCATGTATATATTATTTGACACCTTTCTCGTCTCCTTTCCAGAGAGTAACATTTTGAGAGCTTTGAGACGGTCCCAATAATTTAGATGTTTTATCGTGTCTATGCGTGCCGTATATGTTCTCTGTATTCCCTCTAATACAGAGATCTCTCCTGCTCTGAAAGGGGAAGTGAGTACCGAGCAATACTCAAGACGGGACACCACCAGTGATATAAATAGTATTAACATTGCTGTGTGGTCTCTGGATTTGAACGTTCTCATAATCCATCCTGTCATGTTCCTGGCCGCCGCTATATTTGCTCGGTTATGTTCACTAAATGTCAGGTCGTCAGACATCATAATTCCCAGATCTTTTACATGTTGCTTTCCTTCTATGAGTAGGTCTGATTGTGTCCTGTACCCTGTGTTTCGTTTAACTTCCTCGTTTCCACCATATTAAGTACCTGGAACTTATTACCGTTAAACATCATGTTTCGTTCAGTTGCCCAATCGATGACTTTATGAATATCTGCCTGCAGTTTTACAGTGTCTTCTACAGAAGAAATTTTCATGCTGATTTTTGTATCATGTCCGAAGGATGACACGAAGCTGTGACTGGTATTTTTGTCTATATCCCAGACAAGAATGAGAAATAGCAGCGGTGCCAGGACTGTGCCCTGGGGTACAAAGCTTTTCATTGTCGATTAGGCGCCTGACAGTTGGGTGGACAGCGCTTCGGATTCGTAGTCCTGAGGTTCCGGGTTCGATCCCCGGTGGAGGCGGACACAAATGGTCAAAATGTTTCTTTCACCCTGATGCCCCTGTTACCTAGTAAATAGGTACCTGGGAGTTAGACAACTGCTACGGGCTGCTTCCTGGGGGTGGAGGCCTGGTCGAGGACCGGGCCGCGGGGACACTCAAGGTCCGAAATCATCTCAAAATAGTCAATTGCACCTGGGCTTGATCGTACTTGATTGACCGTCAATCTCTGCATTCTGTTTGACAGTTGAAAATCCAACGCCTCACTTTACCCGTTGTTCCTAGTGATCTCATTTTATGGGTTATCACTCCATGGTCACACTTGTCGAAAGCCTTTGCAAACTATAAGTTATGTCCAGTAACTGTATTTGGTCTCCAGTACCCGGAGAGTGTGTGGCAGTGTGAGAGTAGACCACACACACACACACACACACACACACACACACACACACACACACACACACACACACACACACACACACACACACACACACACACACACACACACTGTGTGTTCCGGAGTTTCAGTGTCAGAGTAGTTAATAGATGGAATGTATTAGGCAGTGATGTGGTGGAGGCTGACTCCATACACAGTTTCAAATGTAGATATGATAGAGCCCAGTAGGCTCAGGAATCTGTACACTAGTTGATTGACGGTTGAGAGGCGGGACCAAAGAGCCAGAGGTCAACCCCCGCAAGCACAAATAGGTGAGTACACACACACACACACACACAGAAGAGTTTCTCATTAAAAGTACCACTCAGCAGGTGTTCTCATCACACAGGGATGAATAGAGAAATTCTTGAGATTGTAAGGTTCATAGACTACATACTATGGACAACTTCTACCATGTGCTTGACTCTCAAGGACCATCTGGGGACTGCCGGTAGGACCCTTTACCATCGTCGACATGGAAGTCGAGCGGCGGAGTCGACCCAGGACGCCCCAGGGAGCCATGTCTACCATGACGACAGTCTTCCTGCAGAGACTGGCGGGAGTAGCACACAGTGTGACTGGTCGGCAGAGAGGCAACCCAACACCCAGTCACTTCAACACCCTTGTTTACGGACACCACAAACACCCGCCCCAGTGCCCCCGACCCAGTGCCCCGAGTGTCCCGAGCCAGTGCCCCGACCCAGTGCCCCGAGTGCCCCGAGCCAGTGCCCAGAGTCCCCCGAGCCAGTGCCCCGAGTCCCCCGAGCCAGTGCCCCGAGTCCCCCGAGCCAGTGCCCCGAGTGTCCCGAGCCAGTGCCCCGACCCAGTGCCCCGAGTGCCCCGAGCCAGTGCCCAGAGTCCCCCGAGCCAGTGCCCCGAGTCCCCCGAACCAGTGCCCCGAGTCCCCCGAGCCAGTGCCCCGAGTGCCCCGAGTCCCCCCCCCGAGCCAGTGCCCCGAGTCCCCCGAGCCAGTGCCCCGAGTCCCCCGAGCCAGTGCCCCGAGTCCCCCGAGCCAGTGCCCCGAGTCCCCCGAGCCAGTGCCCCGAGTCCCCCGAGCCAGTGCCCCGAGTCCCCCGAGCCAGTGCCCAGAGTCCCCCAGAGTGCCCCGAGCCAGTGCCCCGAGTGCCCCGAGCCAGTGCCCCGAGTGCCCCGAGCCAGTGCCCCGAGTCCCCCGAGCCAGTGCCCCGAGTCCCCCGACCCAGTGCCCCGAGTCCCCCGAGCCAGTGCCCCGAGTCCCACGAGCCAGTGCCCAGAGTCCCCCGAGCCAGTGCCCAGAGTCCCCCGAGCCAGTGCCCCGAGTCCCACGAGCCAGTGCCCAGAGTCCCCCGAGCCAGTGCCCCGAGTCCCACGAGCCAGTGCCCAGAGTCCCCCGAGCCAGTGCCCAGAGTCCCCCGAGCCAGTGCCCCGAGTCCCACGAGCCAGTGCCCAGAGTCCCCCGAGCCAGTGCCCAGAGTCCCCCGAGCCAGTGCCCAGAGTCCCCCGAGCCAGTGCCCAGAGTCCCCCGAGCCAGTGCCCAGAGTCCCCCGAGCCAGTGCCCAGAGTCCCCCGAGCCAGTGCCCCGAGTCCCCCGAGCCAGTGCCCCGAGTCCCCCGAGCCAGTGCCCCGAGTCCCCCGAGCCAGTGCCCCGAGTTCCAACGAGATGTGAACCCCTGTTTTAGAGTCTGGAGATCTCACACAATGAACATTGTCACCCCAGCTGTACAATGTCTTAAGATGTACACTGTAATCTTAAGACTGAGGAACTATTACATTTCTGAATAATCTTATGATCAGTAGAATAGCTAATACATTAATATATATACCATTACTGATCACCCCCACAGACAGACAGAGGAAGAAAGGTAGGTGTGAGTGAGTGAGTGAGTGAGTGAGTGAGTGAGTGAGTGAGTGAGTGAGTGAGTGAGTGAGTGAGTGAGTGAGTGAGTGAGTGAGAGAGAGAGAGAGAGAGAGAGAGAGAGAGAGAGAGAGAGAGAGAGAGAGAGAGAGAGAGAGAGAGAGAGAGAGAGAGAGAGAGAGACACACACACACACACACACACACACACACACAGACAGACAGACAGACAGACAGACAGACAGACAGACAGACAGACAGAGAGACAGAGAGAGAGAACCACCAGGTACTCCCGTGAGGCTCGAACCTGGGGCCTAGTCATCATCAGCTCGTCACTCAATCCACTCAACCAAAGGATTGAGTGGATTGTGTGACGTGGAGTGGATTCTTTCTCCCAGTAATGAACTGGTAGATGGATGTATTCAAGAGGCACTAAAAAAAGTTCTTGCAAGAAGTACCGAACCAACCAGGCTGTAGTGGAAATGTGGGCCTGCGGGCCGCTCCAAGCACTAGTCTGTTGGACCAAGTTATTACAAGACGAGCCTGGCCTCAGGCCGGGCTCAGGGAGTAGAAGAACTCCCAGAACCCTCTCCAGGTATGCTCCAGGGAACTTGGAGACCCGCCCAGGCATCACCACACTTCACGGCCTGCAGCCAGCTTCACCCCATTCCCACAGCTCTGCTCCTGTGCCAGGTAAGTCCACAACGGGCTCGCCATAGTCCGTGCTACTTGGAACTTTTAATTCCAAGTAGCTGAATCTAAAACAACAACCCCATTCCCGAGAGCTCCGGTGGAATGGCACACTTTGATATGTTACCATACACTATAAATTATCAATATATAATTATATATAAACGAAAACCACATATAAAACGCAGTCAAACCACACTATTGAAAGAAAAAGCAATATAAAGGACCTGAGAGTATTAATGTCGGAAGACCTTACAAACACACACAGTAGGTGTCACAACTGCAAGTAAAATGGCAGGTTGGGTAACACAAACCTTTTAAACATGAGATGCCATACCAATGATGATACTTTTCAAGACGCTAGTGCTCTCTAGGGTGGAATATTGTTGCACACTAACAGCCCCATTCAATGCTGGAGAAATTCCAGACCTGGAGAGCGTGCAGAGATCCTTTACTGCTAGAATCCACTCAGTAAAACATCTAAACTACTGGGACCGACTAAAATGCCTAAATCTGTATTCTCTTGAGCGCAGGCGGGAGAGATACATAATCTACACGTGGACAATAGCAGAGGGGCTGGTCCCAAACCTGCACACAGAAATAACACCACATGAGACCAGGAGGCATGGCAGGATGTGCAGAATACCCCCGTTGAAGAGCAGAGGTGCAGCAGGTACTCAGAGAGAACTATCAACATCAGAGGCCCGAGACTGTTCAACAACCAGCCATGAGGCCTGGTCAGAGACCGGGCCGCGAGGACGTTGAGCCTCATGGCAAATCATGGTTAATTTGCCTAACAGGACGAATGATTTTCGTTATTTCCAAATATTTATTTTCAAACTGGTTTATATGAATTAATATTATCATATTATGAACAAAATATTTACTTATGTTAGGTTAAGATAGGCTAGGTTTTGATCAAATTTATTAGTTTTATATGAAATTAAACAAATTTTAAATCACATATAATGGAAAGTTTTATCATTCAGTAAGAAAAAAATATATAATTTCAGGAAAACTCGGCTTGTTAGGCAACTTGGCCTATTAAGCAGAACATTGAGAAGACACACACAGATAACCAGGATGCAAACCTGACACTGCAAACACAAAGCAACAAGAACTCCACGTGGGAATGTTTGTTTACATATGACGTCACTCAGATAACAGCTTCCTAAACTATGACGTCACTCAGATAACAGGTTCCTAAACTCCCAACAAACGAGACCTTTCATCCAAACAATTTCTAGGCTTAATTTAGTAAACTTTCTCAAAAGCTTTATGAGTACTATTAATTCCTTCGTATTTATAATGTATTAATCAAGATGTACGATAGTTTCCACCAGGCGAGAGGGAGCCGGTCGGCCGAGCGGACAGCACGCTGGACTTGTGATCCTGGGTTCGATCCCAGGCGCCGGCGAGAAACAATGGGCAGAGTTTCTTTCACCCTATGCCACTGTTACCTAGCAGTAAAATAGGTACCTGGGTGTTAGTCAGCTGTCACGGGCTGCTTCCTGGGGGTGGTGGCCTGGTCGAGGACCGGGCCGCGGGGACACTAAAAAGCCCCGAAATGATCTCAAGATAACCTCAAGAAGAAGGCGACCAATGGCATGAGCCGATTGACGTTCCCAAAAGATTAAAGCCAAATAATTACAGCTATAGCGGGTATGTACCCAGTTCACTAAAGGGCGCATTAACTCCACATATGCCATAGAGATGCAATAAATGAATACTAGTTCGATTTCAATCAAACTCTTTTGACGAGTTGTATATGAAAAGGGCTTCATGTGGTCCAAGTCTCAGCATCGTAGCATAAATAGGAAAGGAGAAAAAAAATATTTAATTAAGTGTCAACAATTTTTCAAAATGGTAAAAAATTATTATCAGACACAAGTGTCAACTGAAATCATGTCTATGACTCTCAGCTATCATAATAGCATATAATAAATCATGTCTATGACTCTCAGCTATCATAATAGCATATAATAAATCATGTCTATGACTCTCAGCTATCATAATAGCATATAATAAATCATGTCTATGACTCTCAGCTATCATAATAGCATATAATAAATCATGTCTATGACTCTCAGCTATCATAATAGCATATAATAAATCATGTCTATGACTCTCAGCTATCATAATAGCATATAATAAATCATGTCTATGACTCTCAGCTATCATAATAGCATATAATAAATCATGTCTATGACTCTCAGCTATCATAATAGCATATAATAAAAAAATGTAATAATTAGTTTAATAAAAAAAAATTTGAAAAATATAAAATTTGATTTTTTTCAATTTTATTTTCTTATTTGTTTATCAGACGATTTGCATGAAACTTATACACGTGACTGCACGTAGGCCTATCTGTAAGGGTGTCAATTTTGGAGGAAATTGGTTGATGTGAACCTCAGCCACAGATGGCAGCACCTTAGACTTTATTTTTTAATGATTTATCTTCAAGTAACATAAACGTTAGTTGTACTCTTTCATTTTTATTCAGTTTACATGAAACTTACACCTTATATGTAGAGTTTATGTCTCTAAAATCTGTTGCCGCACTGTTTTCCTAAGTCCATTTATTGATTTTATAAATATTTATAAACATCATTTTGTTGCATAATTTTTTAGGGAAACTTTGAAAATTTGTATTATTGCACTAAATACATTTGGGATAGAAATCTGGCTATAAACCTTTATTATATGCTAATGTGATGGCTGAGTGTCATAGAAATGATTTCGGTTGACAAGATAACCTCAAGATAACCAAGATAAGACACTTGTGTTTGTACTACATCGTTGAAAAATGTTGAAAAATTGTCTAAAATACCTATTTTATTTTTTTCTCCCTTTCTATTTAGGCTATCAGTTATGAGTCGTGTGTACACCTTTTTGATTCATAAACAGGGGGTTTGGCGGGTGGATGGAATGGACTTTGTTTATGAGGCCGGGCCGCCTGCACACTGGACTAAGATGGTGTTGTGTGGGTCCAAGTGTGTACCTGGAGGGAGAGGACGAGAGCTGTATGGTCAGGAGGAACACAGCAACTGGAGGAGTGCCGACAGAAAGGGTGAGAGGAGGAGGCGAAAGGGAGAGAGAGGAGGAAAAAAGGGGAGAAGAGAAAAAGGGAGACGAGGAGAAACAAAGGGAGAGGAGGAGGAGGAGGGGTAACTGAGACGATAGCGTTTACAATGCAAGGTGTATATTTTGTTATACACAAGAGGCGGGTGGTGATGCGAGGCTGCGTGTGGTCCCGCACTCACACACAACACACGCACACACACGCCGTTCAAGCCAATACACGCACACATTCAAGCACAGAACATACATACATACACGTGTATGAACACACATACACAAAGTGCAGAGGTTTGCAACAAGCCTAGTACCGGAAATAAGAGGCAATTACCCTACGAGGACAGGTTAAGGGAACTAAAAAGTTCAACACTGCAAAAGGCAAGGAACATAGAGGACATGATCACAACATAAAAGATACTAATCTGAATAGAACGAGTTGACAAGGACAGCCTCTTTCAATTGAGAGGAGGAGGATGAGGAGTTGGAATCAACATGAAGAGTGTTGCCACCAGTAGAGAGGAAAAGAGCAGGCACCCAGCACCCCAACAAAGGCCACCCGGGCACTATTCACTAAACTTCCTCTACAGCACTACCCTTGCCAGCAGCGGCATCGCCAGGCACAGGGTCACCATATATCAGGGGTCTACTCTATACCATATATCAGAGGTCTACTCTATACCATATATCAGGGGTGGACTCTATACCGTGTGGTCACTGTTACAAAGTATTTATAACCGGAGGTGTACTGGAAGTGTTAGTAACACCAGCTTTTTTTAGAGAGTGAGTACGAGTGAGTGTGAGAGAGAGTATGTGTGTGTACTCACCCAGTAGTACTTGCGGGGGTTGAGCTCTGGCTCTTTGGTCCCGCCTCTCAACTGTCAATCAACTGGTGTACAGATTCCTGAGCCTACTGGGCTCTATCATATCTACATTTGAAACTGTGTATGGAGTCAGCCTCCACCACATCACTTCCTAATGCATTCCATCCGTTAACTACTCTGAATCTGAAAAAGTTCTTTCTAACGTCCCTGTGGCTCATTT